TTTACATTTATATTCTTTTCGTTTATGATTTGGATCATGTACACCTTTATGCGTATTTAAACCCTGCAAAGTCTTGAACTGCTTCTGGCAGAAACTACACTCAAACCGCAGGTTCTCGTGTTCTACTTGGACATGCACGTCCAACAACTTTTTCCAAAAGTACCCCCTTCCGCATTTCTCGCATGTAAACGTATAATTTTTGAGATGTACGTTTTGGAGGTGTTGACTGAGCGTCAAAGGAGTCTTAAATTTATCATCGCAGTATTCGCATTTGTGGCTATACTCTGCTAAATGTACGGATTTCTTGTGTTTCACCATGCTGTTCTTGTATAAGAACTTTTTTCCACAAACGTCGCATTTTATGGTCTTTTCTTTGTGCGCCCGCATGTGGTTTTTTAATTTGATTGGATGAGTGAAGACCTTGCCACATTTTGTGCACTGCACATTATCTGCAACGCTAAAAGAAACATTTTGTCAAAACAATTAATATTTAAATATCAATATAACATCGACGGAGGATAAAAATATAGTGCATCGAAAATAGAGTGACCAATTTCGACACTAGCGACGACTTAAGCTCACAAGTGAAAGAAAATCAACTCACTGTGCGATTTTTAAGTAAAGACAAAACGTAATTATAGATTAACAATTGAGGAGCGTCCACACAAAACTACACATGTCCACTTAAAGTAGTTTTGAAATATGTTACAAAAATTGTTTGCACAATGGAAAGTAATTTTTATTTAACAATAAAACACTGAAAACTTTGTTTACAAACTTCCACAAAATTTATTTTAAATATTATCACTACAGCTGTTTCGGCTGATTGCCTTTCTCAAGTGATCTATTTTGGCTTGGGTTTACAAATTTATAGTCTCTAATGAAATAGGTTGAGGAGGGGAGAACTGTTTGTCTCAAGTTGGTCATTCAGAATTATATCTGTGTTTTTTAATTTGTTGATTTCCATAGATTCTAACAAAGATAGCTTAAGGCCTTTATTTTGAATGTGAAGAATTTTAAATTTGTCATTAAAAGAATGATTATGATCTAGAAGGTGAAGTGCGTATGTCGAATCTGTTTTTCTATTCTTGAAAGCCCTTTTATGTTCTGCTATTCGTTTATCAAAGTTTCTACCAGTTTGACCGATGTAAGTTTTTGGGCAGTCGCCACATTCAAGTTTGTACACACCACTATTTAAGTGTTTTTTATTTTGGCTCTTGTTATTTTTAATATATTTGCCTAGGTTGTTATTTGTTCGGAAAGCTGGTGTTATTCCTTTCTTTTTTATGTGTTTGGCAATTTTTGTTGTTATTTTGTCTGTATATGTAATCGAGCAGAAGGTACTGAGTTTTTTCTCTGGTGGTGAAAATACTAATTTCAGGGCTTTCTTGTGTAGTTTTTGATTTAACATTTTATTAATTGTTTGTTCGTTGTATCCGTTGTTTACTGCTATCTGCTTAATTATATTTAATTATGTCTCAAAGTTGTATTTTGACATCGGAATTTCTGTTAATCTATGTAACATACTATGATAAGCTGCCAGCTTATGTTGTGTTGGATGGGATGACGAATTGTGTATAGTCGTGTCAGTATGGGTAGGTTTATGAAATATGGAGAAGTCATGTTTGTTTTGAAGTCTGCTAATTTTTAAATCTAAAAAATTTATGGATTGATTTTGTTCTGTTTCCATTGTAAATTCAATATGACTATGAAGTGAATTAATATATGATAAAAATTGGTCCAGTTGCCTGTTAGTTCCTGTGAAACATACCAGTACGTCGTCTACGTATCTCCACCAATATAAAAACTGTTTGAATACGGGATGTTTTGAAATCTTTGTCTCTAGATGATCCATAAAAATATCTGATAGCAATGGGCTTAGAGGATTACCCATTATAAGACCTGCACTGTTATTTGTATAAATTTTATTATTAAATTCAAAGTAGTCTCACTCATAGTCATATTGAATTTATAATGGAAACAGAACAAAATCAATCCATAAATTTTTTAGATTTAAAAATTAGCAGACTTCAAAACAAACATGACTTCTCCATATTTCATAAACCTACCCATACTGACACGACTATACACAATTCGTCATCCCATCCAACACAACATAAACTGGCAGCTTATCATAATATGTTACATAGATTAACAGAAATTTCGATGTCAAAATACAACTTTGAGACAGAATTAAATATAATTAAGCAGATAGCAGTAAACAACGGATACAACGAACAAACAATTAATAAAATGTTAAATCAAAAACTACACAAGAAAGCCCTGAAATTAGTATTTTCACCACCAGAGAAAAAACTCAGTACCTTCTGCTCGATTACATATACAGGCAAAATAACAACAAAAATTGCCAAACACATAAAAAAGAAAGGAATAACACCAGCTTTCCGAACAAATAACAACCTAGGCAAATATATTAAAAATAACAAGAGCCAAAATAAAAAACACTTAAATAGTGGTGTGTACAAACTTGAATGTGGCGACTGCCCAAAAACTTACATCGGTCAAACTGGTAGAAACTTTGACAAACGAATAGCAGAACATAAAAGGGCTTTCAAGAATAGAAAAACAGATTCGACATACGCACTTCACCTTCTAGATCATAATCGTTCTTTTAATGACAAATTTAAAATTTTTCACATTCAAAATAAAGGCCTTAAGCTATCTTTGTTAGAATCTATGGAAATCAACAAATTAAAAAACACAGATATAATTCTGAATGACCAACTTGAGACAAACAGTTCTCCCCTCCTCAACCTATTTCATTAGAGACTATAAATTTGTAAACCCAAGCCAAAATAGATCACTTGAAAAAGGCAATCAGCCGAAACAGCTGTAGTGATAATATTTAAAATAAATTTTGTGGAAGTTTGAAAACAAAGTTTTCAGTGTTTTATTGTTACATAAAATGAATTTCCATCAAGTAACGGTCGAATCCATCAATTAATTTTTATTTGACGAAATTGTCAGTAAGTATACTTACGTGCACACTGATTTGAATACAGTTGTAATTACTTTTTTTTTGTTTGATAAGGAATGAAAAATAGTTATTTTTAATTTGGACATGTGTGGTTTTGCTCAGACAGTATGGACATGTGCAGTTTTGACTGGACTGAGTGACGAACATGTGTTATTTTGAATAGTTTATTGGTAAAATATACGAAATTGTTATTAGTATGCAAAAAATTTAAGAAAAATAAATCATTTTACATTATAAAAATAAACAATAAACTTCCATATTTAGATGTGAAACTTTCCGTAGTCTACTTTCAAGCAATCGAATGTCTCTTCTTCATCGACCTCTATTGTAAATGGTTCTTCAAAATGCTGTATTGAATTTCCATAAACAATGTTTTTGAAAAATGTCAGCTCTGGTAGATCTTCCCATTTAATTTTTTTTTCATCGTTATTATACTGTTTTTCCAACAATTGCTGTACGTCTTTTTTTTTTCGTGTACGTACGTGTTAACTTGAATGTACTTTCACTTTTGCCTCTTTTTACTAAGCATTGATATGGATCTAGCTGGATTTGAAATCTGTCAAATTCGGAACCCCTGTACTTCACGGTTGTAGTATTATTTTTTGTGGTAAACTTTTTGAGTTCAATGCGTTTAAAATTTTTTTATACCGTATAAAAATCAATCCTTTCCTAAAATCCTAACATTTCCGATATTAGAGTAAACCTCAGTGTATTCTTCCACACTTGTGATGAAGTCTTTGCGTTTCAATAATTTCTCAACCCTTCCAAATGCGCGGTCTGCTGGAAGGTAGCTATGCCCACGAACTGGAAAATGTATTATTATAGTTTTGGCTGACGCAGGAGATTCTAAAAGCCAGCAGGTCAATATATACGAATTATATACGAATTTTTATTTTGGCCACCACAACCATCACAAAAAAGCCGTATTTCCTCACAATTTGTTAAATCCAAAGAGCGTAAATGGTGTATTAAGGCTGATCCAATTTCAGTCGAACCTCATTTGGCTTGCAACTCGTCCCAGGTATAAAATGGTGGATGTTGACTGTTCATTCCAACACAACAAAATGCGTAGAAGTTAATCTGCTGTAAATAAAACGCATCTTGGATTGGAGTTTTCGGAAGTTGATGGACCTGCTGCAAATCAAAAGCGAACGAAATGCTTTTTGGATGAGCCTCTCGCTAATTCGTAAAATGCACTAGCACGTAACTTATGAATTCGTAAATCGGTCAACGTTTTTGTTATTTTTTGACCTATTTCTTTACGTAAAGTGTGCTTTAAATTAAGACAAGTACCACATACATCGCAAGCTGGGGACTTAACACCAATATTAAAGTTTTGGTAGAATATGTATTTAAACATAGTAAGGCTCACTGTATAGTCGTCGTGCGCATTATTGTACATTTGACAAAGTTTATTGATATTTAAGTCACACGCCAGATAAATTCGTGAAGATTTCTTACAATTATAATGACTTTTAGTTGCTGGAATTGAAGCTATAAATTCTTTAACTTTGGTTTTTTTGTCAACGCTTTTTCGTGAAATTATATCTCCACCACGTCTTCTTTAGGTATCTGTCCTCTTTCGAGGAATCTGGCAACTGTGCGTAGTCGACCAGCAGACATATTTAAAGCAGCCATAATAAACTTTCTACACACCGGCACTGTCTTACCTTTTGTACGGAAATCATAGAAGGCATGAAATGATTTAGGTTTAACATTATTTTCCTCTGTGTTATCCCTTCCACGTCTCCTCTGGGGTGGACACACTGAGATAAAATGGCTCAATTTCTGGTCTTGATCAATTTTATTGGAATATCCATAAAGTTTTTCTTTATGTACTTAATTCTTAATTTCTTCGAGTGAAACTGAATTGCAATTTAAGTTTTTCCAGTTATGATTACAGGGACGTTCGAATCTCTTCATTCCAGTGTCATTGTTGGTATACCTTTACTGAACACGCATATTAAAATTTAGTATTCGAATTGCTAAAAATAGATCTTACCTTTTAGTCCTTTTCTTCTCTTCTTTTAAAATATCTCGCCTCGAACGTTTTCTAGAGCCAACGTTAATTTGCCCCACAGTTCCATCCATATTTTATTAAATAATTTTCAACTATAAAGAGTACGGCAAAACTCTTATGTAGCTCTTAAAAATTCGAAGAATAAAAACAACGTATTTGAAACGAAATAATTGTACGCTAAGTAAAGATTTTTTTTAACAAGCGCTTTAAAATATTATAAAGGATTAGTATTGCCCTCTATGACCGAGTATACGCACACAAAATAGGTAAAAAAAGCCTAATATACAAAACTTTGATTCGTGGACATGTGCTGTTTTGAAAAAGAATTTGCACTAGTCCATATTATGAACTCATGGACATGAGTAGTTTTGGTCGAAATATACAGTCAAATTACTCGATTGGGACATGTGCTGCTTTGCTGGGATATGTATACCTTCCTATGTGTTTAATACGGAACAAGATTTATTTTCCTTGATTCTGACCTTATATTCTTGTTCAATTTAGGAATTTCTATAGAATTCCACTATTATCTCATTTTCACTTAATGATTGACATGTGTCGTTTTGAACAGACGCTCCTCAGTTGTCAAAATGCTGTAAGATTACTTGCGAATTTTAGTTATTTTCCAAAAAGAAGACATTATGGATATAATGCAAGAATAACAAAATGTGGAGGTCACTGCATAAACCGGTAAAAAAAAAACAACTGAAAACCTCTTATACAGGTTTTTTAGAGTTTTAAAAGATGCTATAAGAGGTAGCTGAGGACAAATGATTTACATAATCTACATCATCATCTCAAGAAAAGAACGCTCCTGGTCGAAAAATTATGAAAGAAAAAAGTACATTTAGGCCTTGTGCAAATGCTTCAAGGACTTATAAAGATCTGTTGATCTTTCCGTATGGTATCAAGGCAAAAAGTCCATGCGTGACAAGAGATTTTTTCTTAGATTGGTTCAAAGCTGAATTCGTCTCTGATGTTCGTCGTCATCTCGCACGTGGAGACCTCCCTCAGGAGGCAGTGTTGCTGCTGGACAACTGCCCTGGTCATCCATACGATGAACTTCGTAGTGACAATGGTAAAATGTTTGCCATGTTCTTACCACCCAACACGACAGCTATTATTCAACCAATGGACCAAAATGTCATCCAGAACACAAAACTGCGCTACCGAAAAGCTTTACTCTTCAACATTCTTGCTGACGAGCGAAGTGGACCGTAACTCAATAAAAACTGTTTTTTTGAAAAAAGTGATAAGAGGCAAACAAATTTTAAAAAATAACTAATGATGCCAACAAAATTTCTTTTTGTATGAAAAATGCTTTCAGAACAAGAAAGTAACGTGTCCATTTTTATTACAAAATGTCAAGTAGTTTGGGAGAAAATGCAAAAAAACAAATTTTATTTTGTAACTTCAAAGGGCTGTAACTTTTTTTGTGTACACTTTTGTACTAACGGAAGTTGGATTCAATCGATTTGTCCCCAGAATGCGTGATTTAATTTATGACATAACTTTTTGAAACACCATGTATAATTATACTACCAATTATATAAGCGGGAATATATGTTCAAGGTTAATAAATCAATAGGCTAACGTATAAATTCCTTTATTTTACAACAAAGCTTAAATGCAAACTATCCAAAATATTGTAACCGTTGAGAACATTTTTACAGTGATTTTATGTCAAAAAATAATTGACTACTATGGACAATGTCCATTATTAACAATTTAGCATATTATTTGTTGTGTATTTTATACAGGAATTAGTTTTTGTACAGTTTTTTACAAATTTTTACAGATTTTTAGATATTATTACAAAAATTTACATACAAACATCAGTATGTATGGTTGAGATCGTGAATCTTTACCCGTACGTCAATAATACGTTACGAGATGCAATATACATAATGTGTCTCAAAGAGATTTATACAATCGGAGGAAAAACTTGCTCTGCTGACCTGAAAATCCATAATTAAGAATAAAAATTTCGCTAGAAATAGAACTGGCGTTGGCTAGAAGAAGGGAAAGTCAAAAATCCTGTTTTGTAGTTAAGAATAAACTATATTTAAATTCAAACGTATTGTAAGAAGTAGCGATAATCTTGATAGAATTATAATTTCGGGAAATGAAGGACGCAGAGGCAAACTGTTTGCCGCAATGTAATTCTAAAACCTAGGACGGCCCTGCCTGCGAATAACGAGTTATCTCCTATAGTAGAAGCCACAGTTAGAATGCTGGGCAGGTAAGATAGGCAATGTATTTCTTAAGGGAGAACGGCTGACCACGTTGCCGTTTTGCCCCGAGAGGCACATCAGGACCGATTTAAGAATCATAGCACTGGAATATACTCGCACATAACAATTGCCTACGGTTGTATAAAACACTATCATTATTGTTTTAACTAAAGCATGATTCAATCATAGATGTATAAATAAGAGAGTTATATTGTCGAACATGAAAAAAATAGGTAAAGAAATAATAAATAAGACACTCACAATAAATTTAATTAACTATCCAGAAGACCGGTTTCGCTTTCTACAATATGCAAAGCATCTTAGCCGAAAAACAATTAAAATGGTATGGACACCTGAGACGGATGAACGAAGAAAGGATACCACGAAAGGTTTGGAACTGGAGACCTACACAGAGAAATAAAAGGGGAAGACCAAGAAAGAAATGGATATCCAATATTCATATAGAAATGGAAAATAGAGGTCTTCAAGAAGGAGACTGGGCCGATAAGAAATTATGGCGATTGGGATGCGAGAAGCGCCAAAATTAAAGTTGCAAACACTCGCTATATATAATATATATATATATAAATATATATATATATATATATATATATCTTCAGGTCTCGATACAAAGTTAAATAAATGATGCCGGTACTCTATTAATTGATGGATGGTAGAACATGGTTTAAACTATCATGTATTATTGAATGGAGAACTTAAGTCTGCTATTGTAGTTGTTTGACAATAAACGGGAAGTTCTTGAGAAGATAGATTTGATCAAATGAAGTAGAGATAGGTGCAATGTGATTGTTTGTTAGATGAAAGTGATGTTATATACCATTGTATTATTTAAAAGTTATTTATACTTATTCAAGAGCTATATTTATGAAATGTGTGTTATTTATTGAGTATGTATTTTATGAAGGTGACCGTTTTATGACAATAAATAAGATTAGATGTACAAATTGTGTGGGTGTGCAATTCTTTCAACTTGTGATTATCAAATTTCTTTGATAAAGTTCTATTGGCAAAATGGTAAATTATTGAAATTGATTGTGAGTAAGTCTTATTTATTATTTCTTTACCTATTTGAAATGGACTCACACAAGCAACACATTCATGATATGAAAAAAATACTATAAAAAAAGTAAATAATATCAAAAACTCATTGTCGATAGCTTATCTGTATATATCAATTTTCACACATTCTTTTGGAAATAAAGATCATTATAAAGTCATTAGGGAAGCGAATCAGTTCAATCCTCATTGTCCACGCAAAGCAAACATGTCTCTTTGTCGATTTGGGTACTGGCCACTAGACCAAAAATTTATTGGCAAAAACTATGAAAGCTCAGTTCATTTTCGCAAGCGGCTGAAAGTACCTCATGGAGCCGTTATCACTATATTTCGTGAATTTCAAACAGGTATCACTCTTACGGTGCAAGTAAAACGTGTAGTGTTGACTGTATTAAACTATCATTTGTACTTAAAAAATGGTGACAGCTTAACTACTACCGTGTAGGACGATGAAGACCTACCAGCTTTTTCAAAGACCATATTTGGTAGGCTACTACATGCCATGGGCTTTAAATATGGTAAAAGAGGTAGAGATTCCATATAAATAGAATGAAAAGATATCATATCCTGGAGACATGACCCATAAGTAACTCAGACAAATAAAAAACATTGAGGAAGAAGGATAAAGTAAACATTGTTCATACCTATTATTATTAGTGTGTATGGTGCCGCCAGAAACACACACTTACTAACTGTAGACCGCATTCAGTTCAAATGTCTAAGAATGTGCTTGGGCACCACGAAATCTACTCGTTGCCCTGTACTACTTGCTGAAAGTAATGAAATGCCTCTTCAAAATCGTCGAGAAATGATGGCAATCCTGAAGCTAAGATTAAATAATAATAATCTACTTAGCCAACTGTATGAGTTATCTATGGAAAACCTGTCAAATAAATACTAGCGCATAAAAAATTCTCCTCCCCTTGCTGGTGCTTTCTTAGAAACTAATGAGTATTCTAATATCTATGGCAAAGAAAAAAGATTACCAATATATAAAGCTAATTTTCAGGTAACATTAAATAAACCAAAAGTCATTATACCAAAGTACACAGAATCCCCACAAATAAACTTTGTCTTACTTAAATCCATATTGAGTGACTATAATAATCACGTAATAATTTATACTGATGGTTCCAAAAAAGAGGATGGTGCCACAGGTTGTGCAATTTACATTCCACATAAAAGCAAATCTTGAAAATCAAACTTCCATCACATTGTTCAATATACACTGCTAAAGCGGTAGCAATAGAAAAAGCATTAGATTGGCTAGATTTACACAATTTAAATAAAGCAGTAATATTATCAGATTCATTATCGGTCATTAAAGGATTAAACTCAGATATGACTCAACATAAAAGAAATAATATTCTTTGTGCTATTAAAAATAAAACATATAGTAAAGATATTACAGTTATTTGGATTAAAAGTCACATTGGTATCGAGGGAAATGAACTGGTTGACGAGCTTGCTAAAGAGGCGACCCATGTTGGACTCTATATTCCCATATTAATATTGGAGGACTTACAACAACATTATTATAACAAATTTTTTATAAATTGGAAAGAAAAATGGAAAAACATACCAAACATCCAAACACCAAACACACACCACACCGCCACTTGTTTATACCGATGAATCTTGGACTAACGTCGGTGCTCCAGTCAAAAAGGAATGGAGGGACACAACGATAAATAATTCACGAGATGCCTTCATAAAACGGCTCTCTACTGGACTGAAAGCTTCAACACAAAGAGGTCATT